ATCACCACGCAACACCTGAGCAGGTTGTAGTGGGGGAACAGGTAACTCTGGTGACCTGAATAAGCCAGCAGTCATTTTAAGTCTAGTGATTTTTAGAAAAAGAAAAGCAGCAGCATTTGTGCAAGCCCCTTTTCCTCTCGGGGCCTCACTTTCCCCTCCCAACCTTTGTCTCTTGTTTCTTTATTTTACAGAGGCTGCAGGGCAGGGTTTCCCTCCCCCGTGTTTGCCCAGCGCTTAGCACAATGGCTGACCTGTCAGGCCCCAAGTATCTCTAGGAGACCCTCAGGACTGGCCCCTGCACACACTTCCTTGTCGTTAGACACATGTCTCAGACTCTTCTGGTCTGCTCCGTGACCGTTGGCTCCATCTGCATGGTGGTGAATATGTGCTGGGCTCCTTGTGCCTGCAGGAGCCCTGCTCCGGCACACGGAGCCCTGCTGCAGCCCAGCTCCAAATCCCTCGCTCTCACAAGCCCTGCTGGTGCTTTCTCCATTCCCCGTTAGATGACCCAAGACAGCCCAATCTCATCTTCTGAGAAAGAAGAAATGCAGATAGTTTGCACTGGCAGCATAGGTGCTTCCAAACTGTTTTAAAACACACACAATTTAGCACTCATTTATGGCAGTTGCCATATTAGGTGAAGAGAGCTGGACCAAGTCAGTCAGTTGTTTTCCCTTCCATCTCTTTACACGTGTCCATCAGAATAAAACAGTAGGGCCCATGCAGTACTACACTCTGCATTTACATGGTTGGCATGTGAAAGTGAGAGGTATTTCTGCCCTCGGAGGACAGCCCAGAAAATCCAGGCATCAAAGAAGCCTGGGTTCAGCCCATATACAAAGACAGTCACAGCTTGGAGTGCAAACTGTGCCATGTCCTGGAATAACAGAAATAGCATTCTCTTTGGCAGCTAAGTAGAAACACCAAGACACTTCGAGAGGAAAAAGAAGAACCACACACACAGAAGTAACCCCACTGATGCCGGATTCCACTACTGACTCAAGAGTGGACTGAGGGACAGTTTGCATGCTCAGCACAAATCCTTCCAAGAAGGGCGTGCTTAAGTCTCAAAACCAGTTCAACACCATCAAGAAGCTAACCTCAGCTGTAGTCAAAACCAACACATTTTTTCTAAATGTAAGAGGAGAGAGGTCAAGCAAACATGCAGAGTTAGAGGGCCCTGGAATATTAAAATGAGGCAATGCATAATTTGGCAGGATTTTAAACAGCTCTTTATAACCTGAACAGACGAACATAAAGCTTCACTTTAAATAAGCAGATCAGGCTTTACGTTGAGCAATACAAGTGACATTCAAACTAGAATTCGTGCTATGGCAAAAAAGTCTTCTTAGCCCTTGTTTAGGCTCTGTTTCTACTTTGTGGGAGTGAAGAGAAGGGACATCAGTCAGGAGGTAAAGCCTTGACCTTCCCTCCTAGCTGTAAGCTGCCAGAAAGCACTCTAGGGGCTATGGAGTTAAGTCACTTTATGTGTTTTTTCCTCATCCCATTACAGCATTGCTTATTTTCCCCACAACGCTCCTATTTTGTAGTTGCTATGACAATTTGCAGCATTACTTATACTGCTATATGCACGCAGAGATCAAGAGACAGACTTCTTTTCCAGGATTTAATAATCTCATGCCTTGAGTGGGAAAATTATGCTCAGTCCTGCAGGTTACCTGCATTAGGAGGCTAGTTAGATGCTCCAATCTAATCTAATTCAGATGCAAGTATCATCCTTGGGCATGGATACAGCTCACAACCTACCCATTACAGAACGGGAGCAGGCCTCTGAGATGAACCAGTAACAGTAAATAAAAAGCCAGCGCATTCAAGGCTTTGTTGTACTCCCCCTTCGGTGTGTAGAAGCACTTTTGCATTAAGTTGTAAACTCCCTCAAAGGGAGACCCAGCAAATACGGACTTAGGGGTTGCATGCTGTCTGATTAACAGGCAAGGAGAGTCAGTCCTGGCCTTTGCTTTTAACGCGTAACCTTGAGGACATGCGTTACTACTCCTGACTACCCTTGAACAAGTTTGTCTTCAAAGCTGAATGGCTCCTCAGGATCATAGCAGCTCTGCCAAGTCCCCCAGAGAGGTCTATAAACACCAAGCACATCTGATCCGCCAAACTAGTCCAGAAGGGCTCCCCTTTGGACACTAGTAAAACCTGAAATAATTATTTTAATCCCATTTTGGGGAGGAAAAACAAATGGCTGTGTACGTTTTTAATCAGAGTGAACCAAAGAAACACTCAAATCACGTTTCTGCTCGCATTGTCCAGTTACCAAGTATCTGCTGTTCCTCATCACGTGCCTCATAAACTGAAGCCCTAGGGCCAGGTCCCCCCGAGGTGTCAGTCATCCTGACTGCAACAGGTACACAGGAGCTATCAGCTTATCACCACTAAAAATTGAGGAGTTCCACATCAGTCTTTTCCTTCAACGCTTCATTTTCCAGTGGGCCTATCCCTTCTTTTGCCCTCATTTACACAGAACATTGCTGCTGCAAAAGCTACAAACACACCATAATACCCGTAGTCTTAACATCTGACCCACAGCAACGTGCTTGCAATCATCTCAACGCTTATCTGATAAACTAATGCTTTATGGAAGCAATTATGTTCCATCTATATTGCCTTATGTTAACGTGCTCTAAAGGGCTAGAGCACTCTGTCCCCCTCCTCCCTCAAAAAGTCATTCAGAATATAAAAAGAAACTGGATATTAGCTGGCTCAGCAGGAGGAACCACTTGACATTCCTCAGTCAGAGGAGGCAGAAAGGGAGATTATTGTAAACTGGAGTGGGCAATCGTGGAGTCGGTTCTCACTGCAGTACAATCTGTTTTCTCCATGCAATAGCCTGCATCCAAAACGCTCTAGCCCGAGGATACCCACTGTTCATAAATCAGGGGCATGGTTGTGTGGACAACCTCCAGGGCTAGGCTTCCTCAAAGATTTATAACCTCCCCATTATCGAATGGTCTGTGAGTAGGCACAGCTAAGTAAGTACAATACCACGTTGTTTCCTTCTGGGCTGGAAAACCCCGTGAACCTCACCCCAGTATACGTTCTTCCGTGTCCTGACTTCAGAGGAAGTGTACAAAACTCTCATTGATCAACTGGCAGAGCTGTCAGGTCAAAGCTAATGCTGGTCTTGTTTGTGCCAATCTTCTCCATAGTGCTAGTTTTATTTTGTTTATCTCCTGCACCTGGGTTAATTGCTGCAATTGAGTGATTTGGGTGGTGCAATGGGATGTAAATGAAGTAGGAAAAAAGGAAGGGGAAAGACCTGGGTGGGCTGCAGAGGCATTAGGAAAAGCAAGACCAGCTGCATCCTGCAGAAACCCAGGTCAGCTGAAAAGTATAATATGCACTTTAAAAAGTTAATGGTGCAAATTCAATAGCAGGGTTCGGATTGTTGGTGGTTTTGCTGACTGCTGCAGGGAGTCCCAGCAGCCCTGTCAGCATCCTGGACATGCAGCACACACCCCATGCTCAGAGCACTTGTGGGCTGGAGTTTGTCCTGTTCACTCCACTGGTCCCAGCACAAGCCTGGGGTCATTCTGTACTCTGGGAATGATTAGATCAACTGAGAGAGCTCCAATTTAGGCAGTTCTTATCAAGAATGAGCAATGCTAAGAGCTGCCCAGCTTTCTTGTCAAAATTAATACACAAGCACTCCCCTTAATGCTGCTCAGATCAGCAAGAGGTCTGCTCTGAAAGCTCATCTAATGGAGGCAGGGCCTTTTACTGTCTTCATCCTTCTTGGAGAGGCTCTAGGAACAGCAAGTAATAGCTTGGCTAAGCACGTGGATGGGACTAGATTGCACTTTTGAGGCCAATGGCCTTTACTTCTAGGTCTAAGAAACAAAAGTCAGCTTCCCCCGTTACCTTAGCCCACTGTTCTCCCCTCCTCCTGCAAACCTGACAATGTGAATCAGCTGTTTTTCCCCCAGCATAACTGAGTCTCAGTGCAGAAGAAACTCCTTAGCTCTGCTGGTAGAGAAGCATTTTCAAAGACATAAGATTTTTTGACGCCTGTCACTCCCAAGAGAGAGTCTCCGTCTGGCAGAGAGGTTACAAAGCAGAACAGGACCTAAAAGGGTCTTTCACTAGCACAGATGTTAGCACCTTTCACTGACAAACCTGCTGTTTGAGCTGTTCTCTGAATAAAAGTCTCGTTGCCCAGAGGCCATTTCTTGCTCCCTTAGGATGATTTCCCACAATATTCTGCTGCTGGTCTGCTTTTACCATGAAAAGCCGGTGACAGCCAGTCCATACATCAGAGCTCCACCTATTCCTACAAAAACTACCAAGTAAACAGCATTATCATTTCTGGAAATATAGCTGGCCTTAGGTGACATCTTCAGTGTCACATAATCCTCTAGCTACTGGGCCAGACGTTTAGCTTGGAGTGCAGCAGTTGCTGCCATAAATTATTTCCCTCGCTTCACATTCAAAATAGTGCCCACAACTGCGCTCGAGCATTAGCACCAATACAGCCTTCACCCTACAATGAGCTCTGAGCAACCACTTCAGAAAGGCAGAAAAGCAACACATGCTTTAGAAACATCAGTTGCTTCTCATCCCAAACCTGGAAAGACCTAAGAGAGACCTTCTGCTATCACAAGGGCTTGGAGGGGGGAAGACACCTTTTCTATTAAATTGTCGTCTCAGTTAGCATAACTGAATGAAACCCATGATGCTATCAGGGTTGCAGCTTCAAGCATATGTTAAAGATGAGGTAAAAGAAGTTTTAACTTTTAAGCTTTCATTAATTAGCCAGCATTTTAAGATTTTTATTTTTAAAACAATCAAAAAGATAAATTTCTGCTAATGGCTTTTTAAAATGCATTGTAGTTAAAATCTCTTCATAAATATAATGGCTCACATTTCCAGGCTTGCTTTTTTGAGAAGTCCACACACACAGAGCCCCGTCATCACTGTGTGCTAACTCTTACTTTCATGTTGAGTTAACATGGTCTCTGCTTTTCAATTAGCACTTACAATAAGGTGTGGACAGATGCCCAGAAAGAACTCGACATCCAGCTCCAGAGAGAAAGAGAAGAGTTCCTCCAGCCAGAGAAGGACCCCGTGAAAGTATTCAAGATGTTAGTCACCTCCTACATCAAATACATGCAAATCTTCCGTAACTTGGAGACGGCCCACGACCAGCTCGTTCACCGGCAGAAACGGACGGTGATTCGGCAAGTGCTGGATGGTGTGATGGGCCGGATCCTGGAGATGAAAAAAGAGATGGTGAGGCTGGAGAACTCGGAGTTTCATTACATTGATAACATCCTGGAAGATCTAAAGCTTCTCCCGGTAGGTCTACCCCTATTAGGAGAAAATTCATGGGAACTTTGCCTATCCTGTATTTTAAGGACAGTCACATTCACTTGTGGGCTGTGAAGTTCCACCAAGTGATTTAGCTTTGTGCATGTCCACTAGTGTACCAGGTGATCAGTAATTATGTCGTTTTTATTAAAGATCAGAGTATATTTGATTTATGATGAGCATTAGATATTGGAGCAAGATTTTAAAAGCTGATCTGCTTGATCATTATGTTGCATTTCTGCTTCTCCGTAACAGCACAGGCTCTGTGGATCTTTCTCGTGCACGAGTCCTAACATGAAGTCGTAATGACCTAGGCAGATTCACTATTAATGTCAGCAGCTTGACTCTGCCTGATTTTAACGTGGGTTCAGACAGAAGATGGGCAACTAGTAACTAAAGTACAGTCTGCTTCAGTCTGCCCTTTGCATCGTTGAGTCAGCCTGGCCTCTTCCAGAGGTTACAGTTAACGTTAAAAGTTGCATAGCCCGGTCCACTAGTTTGTAGTACAACACACTACTAAAATGAGAAAACTGAGACAATCTTGTATTATAAAGGAGGTGGGCGCTGGGAGCATGTTCAACCTCCGGGGTTCAGGACTGCCTGCTGTAACAGCAGTCCCCTGACAGACAGCCCGCGAAACCAGATGGATATGACATTAAGGCAGTCTTGAAGCTGAGCTCTAAAAGCTGTATGAAAGCTTAGCCGCGAAAAACTGGTTGCTTGTCTCGCAGACAGCTCCACCTATTGTCGGATTCAGGTTCTGCTGCTTTTCTAAAGGAAAAGAGTTGGAGTTTTAAGTTTCTGCTTTTTTCAGGATCTCGGCTATAACGTGAGATAAATATCATACCTAATATCATTATAGCATTATTTTGAGATTTGCAAACACGTGTCTGTTTGCAATTGCATATCTATTTCACTCTGCAAATTTAGGATGGTAATTGCCATTAATTTTCACCAGCACTTTACTTTCTACATTAATTCCAGCAGAGAACTATTTTAAACTATGAGAAGGCATACTAGAGAGTATAAACACATCTCCGGGGAAATTCATCCTTCAAATCATATTTCTAAATCATTAAGCACTGCTGTTTTCATGACTTATCAGTAAATCCACCTGCAGCAAAAAGTTGGCAAGTTTGAAGCCGTGCTTGACATCTATTCAAAAACAAGCATAAGTTCAAATTCCTGCACCACGCCTTAAAATTGAGAAGGCATGACATACCTACCTACTACAAAAAAAAAGTTACTGAAGAGATACCAGGCTTTTTCAAAGAAAACATTATTTTCCATAGTAGATAGGCATACATATCCATGGGGTTTTTTATAAAATAATAGCATGTTCTCAGTTACAAAACAAAACTGCTGTCCCATACTTGAGAAATAACTTCTGTTTCTTAAAGTATGTGCCCAGGAAGGATATCTCTAGTCCTTCCTTTCACTGTATTATCACGGGCTAAAATCCAGCATGATTGTAAGCAGCGAACACAACAGAGTAGTCTCGTTTTATATCTTATGGAATGATACTGCATACATTTTACTATGTCACTGTAAGTCCAGGCTTCATCTTTCTTTAGTTCTGTGCCTCATGTTTTTGTAAGGTTGCCTTCCAACACTCAGTCACTCCATTTCCTGGGGTAATTGTAAAGGTATTTGGATACACAAATCCCATGTGGAGCTGGGAGTGGCTAAAAAGCTACAAATTTGACTTGAGGATAAACATCACAAGCCTAACTTTTCAATGCTGGGCCCCAAAAAGAGATTATGAAGAGAAGCAGGCTCCCTACTCCCCACCCCTTCCAGCCCCAGTATTATGGCTTTGATCTCATCTTTACAGTCAGTAAAAGTCACAATCCAAAATCATTTGTAATTAAAGCCCAGGTTAGACATCAGAGATACTCATCTATGCTGTCTTGTGCTGCTACCTGACTGCATAAAAGCCTTCTCATCCTGTGCGAGGGTGTCCAGACAAACCACTTGATTTCTTATACCTAAAGGCATCCAGATTTGTAATCCATCCCAGAGCGATTTGCACTCGTGAAGTACAAAGTATAATCATTTCCATCAACAATCAAGGATGTTGGAAGGTACAAACAGGGAGCTTAAGACAAATAGAAACTTTAGCAGACCAGAACTCTTCGTTGATAAAATCAACAGGGATAAGCACAGTCCTACTTGGAAGCTTTCTTATACTGCCATAAAAGGGATGTCCCAGTCTTTACAGTGTGCAGCTGAGGGAATTAGTAATGAAATATTTAAGCTGGCAGTTCACAGGGGCTGTTTTCATTGGCCACAGCCTTCCCTGCAGATTCTTACTTTAAAAATTAGAAGGCCTTAGAGTTCACAAGCAGCACATTTACCGTGCGCCCGTGTCAAGGCAGGAGCGGTGCTTCTTCTTTACAGCCAGCACTTTTCTCCTTGGTATCTGTCCACAGCAAAGCTGGCATTGAGGCTACAAAGGACCAAGCCAGAGGTCTCTCTGAGCAGGTCAAACCCACCAGTTTTCATAGCAGACAAAACAGAGAGCACCCATAGCTCGGCATCAGGTCTTGTACCTGTCTTAGGCTCCTTGGGCAAAAGGACCAAGTGTCCACATATACCCGGGGACAAATTATCACGTAACTTGATTGTGCAATTCCTCATGAGTAACATGACAGGGTAACTACTCTCTGTCTCTCTACTCCCTCCTTCTATCCTTCTGGGTAAATCATTTGCTTGAGTAGATATTCTGAATATTCCTGAAACAGTATATAGGGAACGTGGCACCTGCGAACCAGACCTATGAAGACACATTCCCCCCCCCTCAGAGAAATATCCTTGACAGTAATTATTCTTGAAGAATTGTCTCCAGTCATCACTACAATACAAAGAACAGGTTATGTCACTTCACAGCATCTTAACTTTTAGGGAGCTTTTTTGTCTGCCTGTCTGTGTCTTTTTCCATTTTTCAACGAGTGAAATTCTACAGAAGAATTGGTAGACGTGAATCAGTTACAACTTTTTAATGATGGAAACAAGTAAATACAGCAGCTTCTAATCGTGCCTGATTTTGAGAGGTGACTTAGATATCACAGTCACAGACAGACAGAACTGTGCTTTGGTTACTTGTAACGGTTAAAAAAATGCAAAAGAAAGGATCTTTTTTTCATGTTGATTAAAAAAATAAGTGGGATGATCATACAACTAGAGGTATTCAATTTAGTGGAAATCATGTTTAAATTTCCAGAAACCCTGCCAAATATTTTAACAGTTTGATAATATAATTGAGCCATTATAAAAAGAAAGATTTCTGGGCTGCCATGGTTCAGAAACTGGGTTGATTTATTTGTTTTTGTTGAATTAGGCCTTAAGTAATTGCAAAGCAACAGCTCAGCAGCTGTTACAGAGGTCAAATTCCCCAGCACTCCAAAATATTCAACAATCTCAGTCCAATTTAATTGCTTTGTAAAGGTGTTCAATTAATAAATAATGTGATTTTAATGCAGTTCTACAAAGCATCTCATGACTACTTCTTCATCTAGGAAGACATAGAAATACCTATCCCAAGGTATTTCATTAAAGAAAATGTGGAAGTCCTGCAGCAGAGGGAAAAAATCCTTGACCAGATTTTGCTAAATGCTGGATTGCAAACACAGGTAAGTGTACCACATACCTACATAATAACGTGCTTACCTTTTTTAGTTTATAGTCACACCTGTCTGAACACACGAGCCAATGAAGTGAAAAGTACTTTCAGCGCAGTTAGGAAGTAAAAGTCTGTTTACAGATAAGGCACAAATAGAAAGTAACATTAAGTTTTCCTGTCTAACAATATCCAGTCACATCTTGAGGCTGGCTAAGACTGAAATGAATTGACTGTGCTTTATGCGTGAGAGTGTCAGAGAAAGGGCAGCACTTTGACCAAGGTAGTAGGTGCTTTATTTGTCTAGGTAACTCTCATCACGCAATTAGTCCTACTGAAATCAAGTTGGACTTAAGTGTTACTGAGCCAGGATTCCCAACTGGAACGGGCAAAACTCATAGTTCAGATGAGCACAGTTGTTTATAACTTCTGAACAATGACTGCAGTCTCTTCTGTACAGCTACAGAGCTGCAGCTGCTAGGAGGAGTAGAAAATTGAGTTTTGGCAGAGCAAAAGTCATTACAGGGAAGTACATGAGCACTCCAGTGAAGACTGCTCTGGATTTGATATACTTTTGACCTTTTGGAAATGGCGCATTGCCTACGAGCAGTTGTTGCTAACTCCTTGAAACAAACAACTGTGCCTACATGTCTGGATGACTTAGATTCATAGATGTTATAGCCATAGGAGGCAGTCCTGATCAGACCACTTAGTCAAACTGCTGTACTGCCCCAACCGACGAATTCTCCACCAGTAATTGTGCTGGTGGGGGAAGTCTGTGTCGTGATCCCACAAAGCAATGAAGGGAAGGTTCCCAGGGAAAGAAACAGCACCAGACAGAGGCAGACTGCAGAGACAGAGCACAGGCTCTCTGCTAGATTACTTTAATGGGCAGCTGCAGTCCTCTCGGCCTCCACAGTAAATCTCTGGGTTAATTCTCTGCTCTTCAAGTAGTCTGATGTTGGTCTGTGGGGATCCTCTGTTTCGGCACAGTACATCTTGAAGTCTTTTTGTTTCCCACAGTTCTGCCCTCACCCCTTTTGAGTGTGGCACCCGTTACAGATGGGACTATGTAGTGTACAGCCATCTCACCCGGGAGCACCAGCCTCTTGCACTTCAGGCTCTGTCAGGGTCCAGGCCTCCCTTATCAGGATGCCACAAGTGAGGTGCAGAATTCGATAAACATGAATAAAATAACCTCACGCAGTATGGGTCTAGTGCCCTGTGCTGCACTTCCAGTTCAATCAGTGCTGAGGTTGCTAGAGAGTTGTTAGCACTTCTGCATGCATCCTAGCAAGCCATGTACACTCAGGAAATCTGAGCTGCTGTCTAACAGACCACTATTCTTCAGTGTCCATGGCAGTGCTGTTACAAGCAGCCTAACATAAATAAAAAACAGTGGAGTTCAGAGGAGCCTGCTCTGCAGATCATTTGTCCTTCTGTGTAATTTTGTTACAGAAAGCCCTGCTGAAACTGTAGTATAGCGAGCTCCACACAATATATATAGAAGCATCAAATATGAACTATCTCCAATAGGGAGATTAACGTCAAGAAAGAACAATAATTCAGCTTTTCTATGGGGAATGTGAGGGGTTAACAAGAGTTCTGAGGAGTGAGAAGGGGGAGTCCCTCTCTCCAGCTGCATTGTTCTGATATGTTTTTCCCTAAGTCTCTTCTACTTGGGCTGGGCTGACTCGGAACAGCCTGTCCTTCCATCCGGCAAGAGAGCTGGGGCCCCAGCAGCACATCCAGAAGGCCATCCCTTCAGAAAAGTAAAAGGAAAACATTCAACAGCCTAGGAAATTCTTTTAGTAGGACAAAGCCCTATGGCTCTTTTTGTCTTTTTTCTCAAATGGATAAATTTCAGCAGCATGTGTAAGCCACATAGAGCCGTTCTTGTTTCCCACTATATATAGCATCAGGCTTTCCTTGGCAAATGTCAACATGTCAGGTTAACTTTCTCCTGAAGGTCCTCAGAAAAACACATCTTTCAAGATATCAAACTTCTAAGATACTGCAGGATAGCACTGAAACAGAAGTCTCTGCTTTTTGTGACAGGCGTTTTTATTTTAGAAAGTTTTCACAAGTTCATTGGTTGTTTTGTTTGCTAACTGAGGTAGGCAATTAACAAAACACACAACTAATACTTTCTTTTGTCCATTCCTTTTTGGCTGTACTATTGAAGAAACCTCTCAAGGCCATGACATTTGAAGAAGCCATTAAAGTGATCCAAGTTGCAGAACGGGCTCGCCAAGGCCGCTGTCGAGCAGCATTCATGAAGCAAATTTACCTTGAAGAGAGGAGTGAAAGACAAACTAAGGTTCAGGACCAGATGGGTCCAAACCCAGATGATGCTGCCACTTGCATTCAAAAGGTGAAATCTCTTGATTTAATAACAGTTCTGGCGGAACCAAATGACAATGTTTTGTTCAGAAGAACAGCAGTAGACAGAAACACAGCTCGTAGGATGGGAAGCATGCTGAAATGAAACCTTTGAGGGTGTCTAGCAAGGTGAAATACATCATTTAAGCCACATAACAAAATGAGACAGGACCCTCGATGTGAGATCAATAGAAACAGTCCTGCACTGGCACTGCAGGATGACTTTACAACCTACATGTTGTTTTCCCATTCTGATTTTTATGACCTCAGTTGCTCTTTCTGGCATCCCTTTGGAATCCAGTGCCTCTCGGAGAATTCATCCCTGTGATCTCCAGGGAAAGAGTTTCTTGAAAAGATGACAAAGGGAAATCACTGCTAAATTCCAGAAGTCCCTATGCATGAAGAATTCAGACAATTCAGCATGATGAGAACAGAAGCTCGGTCTAAATCTTAAATCTAAACGTTTTTTGAAACCCTGATATTGTTGTCTTTAGAAGCTAGACACACCAGTGTGAGGGGATAACAAACCTCGGCATTTGTTTTTAAAAAAAATAGCAGATGGCAACCTGTTAAAGAGTAATAGTTTCAATTGTATATTGTGTGTTTCCTTCCTCTATTTGTTTTTTCCTGTGTCTGCCATAGTAAAGGAAGCTGTAACAAGGCCCATTTATCTCATTAGTGTTTTGTTTACAATTCAGGTTTGGCGTGGATATATCCAGCGCAAGAAAACAGAGAAAATGAGAGAAGAGGAAATGATATTTCTGGGGATGGTAAGTAGTGCTGCCTAGAGAATATAAAATGCCACAGTCTGTTTGTTCTTCAGACTTTTGTAATTTAGCAGTAGATGAGAAATTAATTTATAAGATTCTTCCTATTTTAAAAGGAGTCTCTATGGAATACAGAACTAAACTGAAATGATAGATGGCACAGAAGTAGCACCGTTTGTCTTATGCTGCATGCTTTTGTGCAATATATACATAGTCCAATGTATATGGCAGGTGTGGAAATGGGCAGTGTAGAAATTGCCCCAGGTTTTAGGGGATTTGACCCAGGTATGACAGAGCAAGGAAGTTTGATCAATCAATTTTTAATTCATAATCCCAAGACACCTGAGTTGTCTTATTCCTGGAGTAGAATTAAAGCAGCAAAGTCTTCTCCCACCCCTTTGCAAACCACTGCATATGTATGTCAAAGAGTAAGGAAAGGGGACATTAGAACTCCCATATTAATATGTCAATATTTCAATAAGTCCCTGTAGAAATAATAAAAATATTCCTTACTTCATACTACAAAAGTACAGGGAAGTAAGTGAACAGCTGTCCATGGTCAGTTAGATCGCATGGGGTAAAAGAAAGAAATGAAAGCACCCTTTCCAGAAGGAACCTCTTCCACAGTTAGACAAGATAAATCTCCTCCTCCAACCAACATCTTCCTTCCTAGCAAGTACCTGAGAAAAAGGATAAACTCTTTACAGTGGACATTTTCTTTGGCCATCACCAATTCTCCAGGTGCCTTCATTAGGCACTAAGGAGTGTCAAGCCTCACAGATCTCCAACTCCAACAGCACAGCCCTTGTACCAAGTTCTAGTAAAGCTGCTTCACAGTGCCACATTACAGAAATATTCATCACTGCTCCATGTTTGGTAGGTTAGTTATATTTCCATGTTCTACAACTCTTAAATTATCAATTTATAAACTAATCGTTTAATTTTTAATCAAAACATGCTTTCTGCTTCTCCCACATAATTTGGAGGATTTTGTTGCCCATCAATGGAATTGCCCTTAGCTACATTATAGGTTTATGAAAACTCATTGTCCCTATAGCAAACATGTATCATCAGTTAAGAACGACCTTAAAATCTTTAGAAAGTTTTGACAGGTTAAATACAGGTAACACCTTATGGATTATTGCCCTTTATGTCTGCTGGTCATAAACAGTAAATGTGGCCAGCAAAGCTAAACTGAGCTTTGGGTGCTGATTTTGCTCCTGTTTAAGACAGAGAAAATTACCAGAGATTTTAACTAGGGCAGACCTAAAATGGTGGATATTTGGGATGTACTGAAAATTAATTCAAAATTATACCTCTTGCAAAGCAAGGGATCATTTCCTTTCAAGTCCCCTGGCAGTTTCTCTCAAGTCTTAAAACTAGAGTCTTAGGAAGGAAATCTAAGTCTGGTATCAGTTATTGGAGGGTTCACAGCCAAGCACTCTTTTCATGGTGGCCAATGGTAGGAGGAACTGATAAGTAGGATGTAAACAACCTAGTTTATGAGGAGAAAATCTTTGTGATCATAGGGATAAAGGGAATTCAAACCAAACACATACAGTGTATTCATTGCCTGACCTCCATTTAGGAGCAAGAGAATTGATGTTTGCAACACTGCACTCAGCCTCATTACTCTTTATCAAGTATATAATCAAAGGATGTAGGGAAAAAATTGATACCTCTAAATAAATAAAAAAAAAAAGTTATTTTTTCTAGTGTTTTTATATTCCCCATTTGTGTTTCCCTTTTACTTTTCATGCTGCATTCCCTCCCATGGGCTCCAAAGGAAGTGAGTGGCGGGCAGACATTGGTTCACACTGATAGATATGCAGTGAGCTCCAAAGGTCAAGTCCCTTTGATGTATGATCACGTCAGCCCTCTAAAAAATGACCACAGATCTTCATGTGTAAATATGTTGAATTTGCTTTTCTAATGCTGCACGACTTAGATAAATTAGAAGACCTAGCCATCCATTACTCCAAGTCCATCCCAAAGGAGGCTTGACTTTTACTGCAATAAATATAATTTCTCTTATAATTATAGCTGTTTCAAAAATATCTATGTTACTTTCATATAAAGACTGCTTTGCAAAAAGAGCTAGTCCCTTTGAAGTTCTGAACACTGATTTTTGGAAAAATTCAATTGTGTTGGCTTAAAAAAATATAGAAATACCTGCAAAGACCAAGAATTGCCCAGTCTTTTACTTAATTCAGTATTATTTTCTTTACTGTCTACTTGCTTTAGAAAAATTTATGTATCTTTTCTGGAATTTGATTCTATTTCATCTTTTGCTTGATGACAGAGTAGAAGCCTACGTTCCAGAGATTTTTTTCTTGGCTCAAAAGTAAAGCCACATTATTATTATTATTTATTAAAGCTTAATTGCAGAAACAGCATGATTCCCTCAGCACATGTTTTTCTAAATCTCTGATAAATCACTATTTGCAATACCGGTTTAATTTGTAAAGAGAAGCAAGCCTCACTAAGAGCACATCTATCTTGATAACTGTATCCTGACCTGTTTCCTGATCGTCCTCACATTGCTCCCACAATGCTGTTTACTACGAACTCCAGCGTGACCACCACAACCAATGTTCCAGGCATAGGTCTGTGCTTAGGCCACACCGACCACACCGACGTGGCAAGAAACTACATTAGATTGTCTTGAAAACATGCATGCGCTTTCCAAACAAACCTGCATTTACTTGCTGGGACTCTTTTACAGCTCAGTTATACAATTTTTGCAGTTTTCAAACCGGTGCGTACTTCCACTTGTCTGATTCTGGCATTTATAAATTTTGTGTCACTAAACACCCTGGCTAGAGGTTGCTGTGATGCTTTCATTTTGCTGCTGTGCAAACGAGCTATCAGCCTGGTGTAACTGGACGTGTGAATTGTTTTTTGGCAACCGGTTTGTCTCAGAGTGGTGCAAAACAGCTCAAGCTTAATAATGGATTTACACTCAGCGCTCTCCCTAACAGACTCCCCTGACAGGGTAGGCCCTCCAGGAAGTTATACTTACAATCTCAGAACACAGGCTACTGGAGAGAGGAAAAGCTGCTTTTAAACATAAAATGTTAGGATAAACAGTGTGCAATCCGACTGATTTATGGAAGGGTAGGAGAAGCCTAGGAACAAGGAGTACAAAAAGATGAGACAAAATCCATCCCTGTTTAGGGGCTCAGCCTACTGTTGCAACTTTGAGGCAGTACTCCAAAGGCCTGGACATCCCCTTGCTCATGTTTTCACTTAACGAGCACAAGTAATCAATCCCATTGGAACCAAGTGCTCTACATGCTTAAACAATTTATAGGACTGAGCCCTGCATGCTGTGGACATGCACACATGTAAACACCTTCTTGTCTCACAGATACGTCTATTGATTTACAGTTACACAGCTCTCTCACTGCTCTATTCCGTAATTTCAGCCCTTACCAAAGGGTTAGTGGCACAATACATACCGATCTATGATTTTCTCACATAGTATTACCACCATTCTTCCTTCCTCTATATCCTTTATACATGAAAGGATCTATATGGTCTTAAATAAAAAACTGTTCTCTCCTCCTTACCTCTTTGAAACATACCCTAATTTAGGCATGTTGTCTTGGATAATGCTTTTATTTATATCTGAGAAAACACTGCCAAACATTCCTTGTTCTTTGAATTCCTGATAAATATAATTCATTTCATCCAGTCCGGAAAAAAAATAAAACAAAACAAACCCAACAAAAAAAAAAAAAAAACAACACCCCAGCATTTCCCATAATAGCCTTCTGTATAAACATTATAGACTATGACTAGATAAATATTATATGGGATTTAACAAACTGCAAATTCCATGAGTAAGTGAAATTTAAAATATTTCTTCAGCTCTTGAAAGTGGACAATTAAAGTAGTGGTACACACCAGGCCTGTTTTTATCAAGCATAAGATTAAAATAACTTTTGTTTTACTTGCAACCTAGATGACGTTTCAATGTCAGCACAAGATTATATGTTATTTCACCAGGCATGCATATACATCTAAACAGTGATAACTATCTGTCCTGTTTTCAATAGAAATTTTAAACCTGCTTATTTTTAAAACAGAAAGCTGGGAAGCAAGCAGCCCACTAAATAATTTGGCTCTCATTGGCTAGAGTCACACTAACAGTGAAATCACTGCCTTTCAGAGTCCAAAACATACTTGCCATTTTTAGAAGAAGTTTAACAGCATGCCCAGTCATGATATTGGAAATAAACATAACCAAATTTATATAAACTTATATGGTCATGAATACAGATGTTTTCTCCACTCCAAATTTTCTTTCTTTTAGCTTATTAAAAAGTGTTACATGACAACATTTTTATAAAAATATATTATATAAATCAATAAAACAGCTATTTTCAATATTTTTCTAACAAGGCCTCTTACTACAAATGCTTTGTTTGAATGCATATGACAATTACTTTAATTGTCAAAGCCACTGAAGTGAATCATATAGTAGGGAAGCTTTAATGAATGCAATATATTTTGCTTAGTTGTTCCTTTTTTGTGCCTAATTTAGGAATTCAGCCATATAATTGATGTGGCTATCACCATTTGTGTACCATGGAACCTATAGAAATACAATCTTCATCAGACTAGAGACCTCTTTAAAATACATTCTTCCTGCAGCCAGACAAAACACATTGAGGAAATGAGAAAGCAAGAACATAGGTAACTCCTATATCAAACTTTGAAAGATAATTTGGATCACAGTTTAGAATTCGGTAGAATAACAGTCATAAGTAAAAAACAGAACCCCAGCTGCTTAGGTGGTGAATTCTTTTTGTCTACTAGTAAGGAGTTACTTGCCCATATAGTCCAAATGTGAAATAAAAGAAAAATCTTACTTGCAGTACTGGTGAAAATAAGTCACCGTTAAAGCTACTTTAAAAATACTTACTTTGCTTATGAAATAAAGTCCTCCAGAGAAGCAAACTACAACTACTACTGAAAAATAAGCAGTCTACAGTAAA